TAAAAGGAGTTACTTCACGCAACAGTACTTTGAGAAAACCAGGCATGACATTTTGGAAGTATATTAGGAAAAACACTGCATCTAACAAAATACAGGAGTCTAAGGTGAGTGTAGGTTTTGTAGTTGGAGTAAGTAGTTAGTTACCGAGCTCACGCTGCATTAGAGTATAAACAGAACACAAACAAACATAAATCAACTTACGGGTGAGCGAACACCGCGCCAGAGGTTCAGACAGAACACAAACATACATAAAAAAACATAAAAAAACATAAACATAAACATAAAGTAACTTACTGGTGAGCGAACACCGTGCAGAGGTTCAGACAGAACACAGACATACATATAACGTAGATTACAGGTGAGCTAATACAGTAACTAAGGCACCTCCAACTATATGGAAAAAAAAAAAAAAAAAAATTACTATAGGCATGACTGATATAAGATAGTACTGATGACAGGAAGAACACTCCTTCCAGCCTTTGCTTAGATAGCAAATCCTGCAAGGCAGCAGAACATGGAACAGGTTGCATTGGGTTACATGTTACCAGTAGCAGGATGATCATGAAGACCATACTCCTGACCTGACCTTGGGTATAAAGCTAGACAATAGCTTAACCTGAACTTACAATGATGTCTTTAATAAGTTGATTAGATCCCTTGCCATTTTATCAAAGCTAAGACATTTCATACAACAAAAAACTTTAAAATCTATTTACTAAGCTTTATTTCACCCTCACATCACATATTGTCTTCTATCATGGAATCAAAACATAAGTGAATTGCCTATTTATCATACAGAAAAAAACAGTCAGGATTATTGAATTTCTACCAAAAAGTACCCATACATTCACATCTTTTAATGCACTAGAAATTTTAAGATTACATGATATAATCAAAATTGAAAATTGTTTACTTATTCACAGCTGCATAAACAAAAAACTACCTCAAATATTTAATAAATGGTTTTTCTTTGCAGTGCAATATATGTGTTAAAATTTAATTATGTTAAATTTATTTGGAATGAATGCATACATTTTCTATACTTTATATACATTTGGTTTTATATATATGTTATTATTGGTGGATAGTAAAAAATAATGCTTTGTACATAAAAAATTGTTTTAAGTCTAAAACTAATATTTTTTAGATCAGATAGCAAGCAAAATGCCAACCACCAAATAAATAATTTGAGCCACTAAAAAAACAGTGAAATAGCAAAGCAGCTGTTGTTGGTTCTAATCATTTTATATTAGACATTATGACAAACATATTTGTTAGTCTATTATATTCTAAAGGATAATATTAGGTTGCTTGAGACAGCAGAATATTTCTAATTTAATTTACTATGGTTGTTCTAATATAAAGATGTAAAAAATTGACCCAATCCCTAGATTTGGATTTTACATTTATTTTTTATTAGTTATTTTAAATTAATTTTAATTTATTATATTTAATATATTTTAATATATTTTAAATTTATTTTAATTAATTATTTTAAAGATAATGTAACAAAATTCCATAAAAAATTTTTTAAAATCTAATTGGAAAATATTTAGTTAAAACTAATTTTATTCAAAAATAATCCAGAAGTTATTATCAAGTTTAACTGTAATACCAGAAATCCCGCAACCATACTCTAGATATTTACCATATATCATGACCATACTACAGATTTTGGAAAATAAAAATAAAAAAATTAGAAATTGAATTGATTAGCGCAATCTTTTAATTTTACATGAAAAGAATTTTGTATTTAGATTTGTATTAAATTTTAACCCCTATATTGTTCACTATGTGAAGACATTGAATAAAAAAATATTCCTTTGTTTAAAAACATAGTTTTATATTATTAACTGCAAATCCAAAATTTTTTTTGCTACAATCATCAGTTTTTAAATGACAAATAACCACTATTTGGCGGTTATGAACCGTTAAGGAAAAATTACAAAAAAAATTATATTTATAATAAACAAATTTTCTTTTTAATTAATTTCGAATTTAAAATTTAAAACAAAAAACTGTTTGAAAAAACAAATAAGCAAAAAAAAAAAAACAATAAACCTTAAACTAATCAATATAATTACTTTATATGAAAAGAATAAAAACAGTTCGTTTTTTTATTTAAACATAAACAAATGTTTCATTTTTTGCAAAAATCTCTGCTATTTCCAACCTTACATAAGCAACAATTAAGTTTCTTCTCACGATGTTTACATGGCGAGATGTAAACATCGCAAATATGTATTTATGTGTGTATCATATATATATATATATATATATATGTGTGTGTGTATCATATATATTTGTGTGTGACAATATATTTAAATACATACATACATAAATATATAGATGATTTTTATACATACATACATGATTTTTACTTGATGTAAAACATCAAGTGAAAATCATGTAAAAATCAAGCTGAATACCTCTATTTGGTAAAGGAATTGAATTCTTTCGATTTTGTGGTGTCACTTACTTAGACAATTTTCTTTTAAATTGCCTGCCAACTGCCACAAAAGGTTTCTCTGCATAAGACAAGCTAGATGCAATTTGTGTTGTAAACTGAAGTAATGACAGCTTTTTAGAAATATTTATTTGATTGCAATGACGTCTGTAAATCAACCATCCAATAACTTTACAAATGTCAAGGCAGTGAAACAAAATTTTAATGTACCACTGCGTGGTTTTAATATTAGTGCAATAAAGTGAAATTAACATGTCACATAAATCTACACATCCTATGCATTGGTTATATTTTTTTACTACTGACGGACAATTTATGTTGACAAACTTTTTTTCAGTGCCATTCCTTCTTTTAACATCTGATACTGAATCTGGATCACAGTACGTTGAGCACAAATTGACACATTTATTATCATACCATCTGGTGATTTACATTTTTTTTACATTTTTTTTACATTTTTTCTCATTTCACTTTCAGTTGGTAAACAACATCGTTGCATTCTATCAATTCTAATTGTTGCTGTTGTAAGAATGCCCAATTTGTTCAAATGTAAACATAAATCAAGATTGCAACACTAATTATCAAAGCAGAGCTTAAAGTTTTGATTTTTTTTTAAGGATTCTATTAATTGTTTCACAACATATGATCCGTTACATTTTTCAGAGCCACTTGCTGCAGCACCAGTATGTAAGAAAAAGTCATATCTAGTTCCTGAAATTCCACAACAAACAAAGTTCTTATTTCCCCACTTCACTGGCTTTTTAGTATTGTGTTGTCTTATTCTACTATAATGAGTTATGGTTGGAATTATTTGCTTGTCAATAGAGTGCCCAGCGAGACAATTTTGACAAACATGATTGAAATGCAATTTTTATAAATTTTTTGTTTGTTAACTGGATCATTAAGTTTTGAGTTATCAGGAGCATGATAAATTCACTAAATTCACTAAATTCACAACCAGTAAAAGTAGTGTCTCTTATAGGTGATATTTTATTACACCATTTATAATTATGAGTTATTGCCTTAGATGATGCGGAGAAAGAGGTTTGTTCATCTTGAGTTATAAATTTAATATTAATTTCATCTTCCAAAAGAATATCTGCATTTATACATTGCTCTTTTTCAATACTCAATACTTCAATATCTCGTCATTTATATGGTTAACCACAAATAAATTATTATTCATCACTACTAAGTTTCAAATCTGAAAGCTCAAACTCTGAACCTGGCTCCAAAATATGTTGAATAGTTTCATTTAAGTCATAGCATATTTTGCTTTGTTTATTCATTTTATTATCTAAATAAAACTGTAATTTATAGATAAGAAAACAACACATATATAATTCTTTAAATGGTTTGTTTTCTCTATATAAAGTTATTATTTCCTTACTAAATTTTTTGTATATTTAGAATTTTTTTAATTGATAATTAAGAAGTTATTCCAAAATATATAAAAAACATATTTTAGAAATTTGTTAATAAAACTGTTTTATGATTTTTTGTTGTAATTGTGTTTTTCATGTTTATCATAAAAAACACAAACTAATGAAGAATTAAGTGTTTTAAATATTTGATAATAACTATATGTTTCTTTCATATCAGTTTGGTGTTTCTGATATAATAGTAATGTGTTTCTAATATTTAGTATCTGTAAGAGTTAAATTATAACAGTTTTATGGTTTGAACCAAAAACGAATCGCTGTAGTTCATAGCAGCCTATTGGCGGAATCAAAATAACTGATTAGATATTGATAAAATAAACAAACATTACAAACTTGGTTGCATGCAAATAGTTAATTTTTAGGCTTCAAGTAATATGTAAACTAAAAACATTTATATTAAAATCAGTAAAACCAAGTATACAGGTCATTCAAAAACATGTAACTTTTTAATGTAAAAACATAATAACTTTATCGACGTATTTCATAATATCCCATAGTTCAGTTTCGCATAAGTTTATTGCAAAAAGATCGTAGTAGGTTAGGATTTTATGAAGATATTTTCCAAATCTATCAAAATTCAAAGTACTTATCTGATTTGGATTTAAAATAGAATGCCGTCATATAGCGGTTTTATCCAATAAAAGTTTGAAGAAATTTATGAAAGATGAAGCAGCAAAATAGTCTCAGAACAATGTGGTTTCTGTGGTATTGTTGTGGTATCTGTGATATGATCGTGATCACATTGTGATGTGATCTGTGGTATGATTGTGGATCTGTTGTATTATTCTCACAATCAAACCACAGGTACCACATTGTTCTAAGACTTCTATTTTGTGGTATTTTTGGAATTTTTGGTATTACAGCTAAACTTAATAACTTCTGAATTATTTTGGAATCATATTAGTTTTAGCTAAAATTTTTCTATTAGTTTTAATTTTTTGATTTTAAATTTAAAAAAATGGTTTTAGTGGAGGTAAAATTTTTAGCATATAAATTAATATTATTATTTAATATTATTTTAAATTATTTTAAATTCAAAAAATGAATATGTTTAAAAAGATTTTAATTTTTTTAAACTAATTTGTTTACAGAGCAGCTTTCAGTTTGGTGTACCTGGTGAATCACTTCATTGTCAAATATTAGGTTAGTACTAAGCAAGGTAGTTTTTTTTTTCCTTTCTTTTTTGACAGCAAAATCAAATAATTCTTTTTAAATAACACAATAGAGTCTTTTATTTCAAATTTATAAAATTTAAAATCAATTTGCTATACTTGTAATATCTTTTTAGGCCTTCTTGGATTTTCACGTTTGTGTCAAGGATTTACTTACGAGGTAAGGTTTTATATATATATATATATATATATATATATATATATATATATATATATATATATATATATATATATATATATATGCAAAACATATATATATATATATATATATATATATATATATATATATATATATATATATATATATATATATATATATATATATATATATATATATATATATATATATGTATATATATATATATATATATATATGTTTTGCATATGTAATTTTGTATTATTTGTTTTACCAATTATTTTGTCTAGTGAGTTTTTGTTAATTAAACATGTTTTTTTTTGCTACAGGTGCATTTTAAATTGTGTAAACAGAGTTGGAAAGCCAAGTGTAAACTAGAACCACTTGGTCAGTCATGGGTTGAACCAGAAGTAAGTTGTTATGAGTGAAAGAATAATAAATAGTTTGCTTTTAAAGACTATAAAAAGAAGCAAATTAAATCAAAAAAGTTATTTATCAATAAGTATAATATTTATATAACATCTATATAATATTTTTTATTTATAAGTATGTAACTAAAATAACATTTCTTTTTTTTTTATTTTAACATGTAAGGAATAACTATTTGAAATTAACTAAATGAATTTGACATTTGACTTCAAGGACATTTACATACTGAAAAGTTAAAATGTTATAAAATTAGTAAAAAATATAAAAAATATAACTGTTATGGAGTTTCTTTTTGTCATTTTTATTTTCCATTTTTTATCATTTTATTTATGTGAATTCTGTTTTGCTTATGGTTGTAAGTTGACTTAGATAATTATCTGAATTATCTGCATAATTTATCTAATAATTATATTGTATTATAATAATATTATCATAAATTATCATAATTATTTGTTGGTAAATGTATGCCTTAGCTTGTTTAATAAGTATTAATTAAATATAACCAGCATAAAACGATGAAAAAAAAAAACAAACATTTAAGAAGGCTTTCTTTCTTTTTTTTTTTTTTTTTTTCAAATGTCTTTACTTTTAACAAGGCTGCAAGCAACCACTATTAGAGTTGGAAGTTACTGAAAGAGAAAAGATGAAATTTGTAAAGCTAGATAACAGTTAACAGTTTACTTGAAAAAGATTGCAGTTTCTATGAATCAGGAAAACCAGATGAAGAGAGTGAATTCCAAAGAAATAATGTTTGAGGAAAAAAAAACTAGACAAGTTAGAATTTTTGGAGCACTTAAGAACAGTCAAAAAAAAAAGAGAGACTTAATTTTATCTCTTGTCATTTAAGACTTAAATGACAAGAGATGCTAGCTCTTTAGAGCAGCACCCATTATAGTATTTACAGAAAAGAGAAAAAGAACCAACACTAGGATTATGTGACAATGGTTGAAGATTGGCACAAAAGCAGGTCTAACTATGTTTACAATGCGTTTTTTCACCTTGTCTAAAAGAGAAAGGGCATCATTAGAAGATCCGCCCCAGATATAACAGTATTCCATACAAGGATGGATTTGACTTTTATAAAGATAAAGAATAAAATCTGGAGTAAAGAAGTTGTGAGCACAATAAAGAGATGCAGATGCACCTTAGCAGATACTAATTTTGCAATAGTTTTGATATATGATTTCCAGGAAAGATCATAAGTAAGAGTTAATTGTAGAAGACAAAGGGTAGATGACTCTTCGAGTTCATTACAGCTCATAAATATAGGAAGGTCTAAATATTTGCATTAATGATTAGCTGAAAAAAAATTGAGTTTTATCTGAGTTGAAGTTCACAACTGAGAGCCCCATTCAGTAGCAAAAGTGATCAAAAAATCCTTTTCAAGCTCAAATGCCCCTCCAAGCAATCAGAGAGTGTTTGTTTCTTCTATACTTAAATTGTCAAGAATAAAGCTAATGTCAATCTAAGTGCTAGTTTACTAATCAAAAAATCAAAAACTGTAAACATCCAATTCAAATAATCTTATTATCTCTGAATGTTAAGAATGAATTATAACATTAACATGTTTTCGACATAAAAAGAATGACTTAATTTTAAATTTAAAAGAAATGACATATGACTTTACCAAGTGACTTACATTTTGAATTTTAGTTTTAAGATTAGAAAAAACAAACGTTCTACAACAGAAATCGAGCACTTGATTAATTTAAAAACCTGTTGACTGTTTAATGTCAATAGAAAATTTTAAGGTTGAAAACTGTAGAATAGAGGTGTTTTCAACCTTAAAACAGAAAAAAAATTATATTTAAATTTACTTGTACTTTTTTTTTGAAATCGTAGCAATTTTGTATATAACACTTAAAAAAGTATTTAAAAAAAATCATTTTATTCCACTCTTACATATAAATACAAAAAAAAAAAAAAATTGGATAGTGTTTCATATTTAAAAAAATATTATTATTTTATTACTTTGTTACTATGACAAAGTATTTATTTGTCTTTTTAAAACATTTATTCAAAATATTTAGTTCACATTCCAAATAAATTACAATGATGATTTAAAAGTAAAGGTTAGTGTTTTATCTTGAAATAAAAACAAAGCTTTGTAAAAAATAAAATTTTTTGGTGTATTTAATAATTTACTTGTTTACAGGTATCAGAAATTGGATCTGCTGTTCGGCGAAGTCAAGTAATTGGTTCGATTGTTTGTCCTGTACAAAATTTTTTGAACATTACTCCTCAGGTGTTTTTAGTAACTTTGCATTTAATACATTTAATTTTCTTATTGATGGTATAATGTTTGTCATATTGAATTACATTTCATTTTTATAATTTATTATGTAGTGTGAAGCATAATATGCTGAATTATGTAGCAAGATATAACATATCATCACATAATGTATATTATGATGTTCTGCAATTTAATATATATTGTATAATAATGTATAATGTGATACAATGTGTTGTATAATGTGATATGTTATAAAATGTTGTGCAATGCCACATGGTTTGTAAAAAAATTGACTGTTGAGGAGGTTTTTTATTGATTTTACTCATCTAACAAGTTTAAGGTTATGATGATGCATTTGATTTTTTTTTCTTTTCCTGGATAAGAAAATAAGTTTTACTTTAACCAATTTACAATATCTATTTGTTATTTTAAAACACTTTAATCGGTCACCTTGACGGCTTCTAGCAATTGAGCACTAAAAAATATTTATCTCTCTTTGTATTCTAAATCCACACCATTGTTATAAAATCATCTTTTTGGTGAAGGTTCCACACCATTATTATAAAATCATTTTTTTGGTGAGGCACAGTGGGCCAAATAGTGGACCTCATATATCAATGTTTCCAAAATAAATTTAAGTTAGTTGTTATTGAAAGCCAAATGTATTTTCAGTTCATTGAAAAATTAAATCAAAAGCATGATTTTTTCAGGAAATATACTTGTTTGACTAACATAAATTCATTGCAAAAGTTTTATAATAGGTATAAATAATACATAAAAGTCATTTTTGGTATTATATAAGAAAAAATGTCACTATACAGGGGTGGGACCGCAAAATGTGAACACTTTTCTGATTGTAATAATTAATTTTCTGTTAAATATGAACTATTTTAAACAAGAATGTCCAATGGTTGGACATTCTTATTTAAAATAGTTCATATTTAACAACTCTTTAAACACTTTCTGATGAGTGAGAGAGTACAACTACATCTAACGAGAAAATAGTTATAATAAAACAAAAACGTTCACATTTTGCGGTCCCAACTCTTTAGTAACAAGTCCTGTACAGGTTGTCACAAACAACTAACCCCTTCCTCCCCCCCTAGAGCATGACATAATTTATGGACAACCCCTAAGTAAATGTACTGCTTATGTTGCAGCTAATGCATATTCAATTTTTGACCAAAAGACCATCTGGCTCAACAGATTTCTTTAGGTTTAACTTCACTTGCATATTGTGTGTAATTAATGGTGTTCCACATGTGTTTATGCGATTATAAAATTTTTGGCTGTTGTGATAGCATTGGCTTGTGGTACAGTATTTGTTATTAAAAAAAAAGTTTATTTGTAAAATGTGTCATGCTTCAACTCACCATTTTTTATCTAGCAAGCAAAAATACTTCTATGAATAATTTGTTTTGTATTTGTAAAATATGTTGTACATTTTTTTTATTTATAAAATTTGTTGTACATGTTTTTTATTTATAAAATATGTTGTACATGTTTTTTATTTATAAAATATGTTGTACATGTTTTTTATTTATAAAATATGTTGTACATGTTTTTTATTTATAAAATATGTTGTACATGTTTTTTATTTATAAAATATGTTGTACATGTTTTGTATTTATAAAATATGTTGTACATGTTTTTTATTTATAGAATTTATAAACTTTGATGACTATGGAACTTTTAGTTAAAGTTTATTACCAGGGACTACTAAAACATCGGGACGCGAAACTCTAATTTCATGTAGTTTTGACGACAGGGCCGATGAAAAAAAAAGCGAATCACTTCTATTATTAATCAAAAATATAATTATGAATAGAAATTTAATAAAAAAAATGTTATGGTTCAATTATTTATCACTATTTTCAAACAAAAATTAAATTGTGTTGATTAAGTGTTAAAAATAAAACAACTTTTTACAAAGAAACTGTAAATTATCCGTAAATTAGCAGTAAATAATTATTTTTAAAGACAATGTTAATAAACTAATTAATCACTACTTATCATACTATATTATATTCATATCATAATAATAAATATATAATTACAAACAAATTTTAAACCATATAAATATAAAGCCATAAATACATTTCAAAACGTTATTAATTATATCACCAACGTCAACTAAATAATCAGACCACTAAGTATTGAGTTTCTTTTGCTGTCCTCAATGTTTAATGAAACAATATCAGATGTATTATCAAGGGTCGTAACACCTTTTATGAAACAGTTAGTTATTATTGAGATAACTTTTGAAATACCTATACTGTCTGTTTCTAAATCAAATGGTAATGTTGAATGCAAGAATAAAAATAATTTCTTTAAATAAACAACACATTGAAAACGTTTTTCAGACATTGGAACGCTGTTAAACAGTAGATAACAAACACAAATAAACTGGAGAAGAGTATCACCAGGATAACGCAATTTACCACGTGAAACATAATCTGTAAATTCAGAACTAGCTGATTGTGATGTTGTATCAACTATACGCTGCGGATCGATATTGTGCTGTACATAACCAGCCATATAAAAAAGGGCAGCATTCTCCTGATCATTAATAGATTCATTGTCTGCATTAATTAAACATTCATCTAAATAAATAATATCCTCTTCCATTAGATCCATTGTGCAACAGTCTGAATGTATGCGTGAGCAATGAATGTCAGTTTTATCCAAAGAAACTATTTTGCTAAATAATTTTAACCACTGAAGGTGCAAACTGTTCAATACTTGTTCTGCTGAGATAAAACAATTTCCGCCACTTAGTTGTCTACAAATAAGCAAAAAATTGCAAAAAGATATAACCAAATAAATTGAGTAGAACAAAGTATTAAATTATAGTTAAAACAGCAATTGTCAAATAAAACGCATCAATAAACTTATGTATGTTAAAAAATAATACATATAAATAAATGAGAGAAATATTTGTTTTTTAGATTTCAAATCTACAAAATTTTCTTTACTATAAGTAACACAAAAATTTTACCTGTAGATGCCAAATTCACCTTCAAGACGATCTGTTTGAAAAATACCGGGAAGAACATATTGGTGATCTTCTGAAAGCAGTTTTTTTTATTAATTCTACCAATCCTTGTAGGGTGTTAACTAAAAGAAAAACCAGTTATTATGCTACACGATCCAGTTCACTTGTTTAAAAGTATAAGAAATAATTGGTTTACGGAAAAAACACAAAAAGTTTAAAAATTATTAATCAACCTTTCTCTGGTGATTGGTCTCACATTGTTCAATTATATAACAGACAGAAAACTTGTGTTGCCAAAACTACAAAGCTTTCACGCAAGTCAGTGTATCCTAGTTTGATTGATACTTACCGAACATAGGTTTAATCATAAAGACTAATAACGTTTTTGCAATTTTAGCGGGATTGTCCTCACTATATCCAATGAGGTATCCTCCTCTGAAACTAATACTTGGTTTAATATACATCTCATCAAAGAGAAGGCAGCAACGCTTTTCAGAACTATTAAAATTTTCAAAAACAACTTTGATTGTATTATTGCACTCTTTTTCATTTCCAACTCCAACTCTTCCTAATTTTGAAATGAGAGTCTGGGCAAACAAAGCAGATTTCTGGACTGGGCAAACAAAGCAGATTTCTTAAATGTTTATAACAACATCTGGAGGACAAATACAGTTCAAGTGCACGACGTATACATAAAGTAGAAAAGCGCAGTCCATTTGGAGAATAAGTGGTGAGGCGTAGTTGTTCAATGAGGAAAGAAATTTCTTCAGAAGTATCACTGTATGTATTTTCAATTTGACTAATCGAACTTAATACCTCATCTTTTATTTCAGGACTAGAGGAACAAACTCTTTTGACAATAGCTTCAAGCTGTGATCACCGAGTAAGAAAATGAGAAAAACTAAGCAGGTCATAGCAGTTAACTTTTGTATGCCTACAATAAATATTAACTTGATGTGAATGACAGTTAATTTCAACAGAAAATATTGTTTCAGGTAGACATGATCGAGAAACATCAAACAATATGACTTTTGAATTTTCAATGAATGCAAAGTATTGAGGATATCTAAAATAGATTTAATAACAAGTAAACTTTAAATCAAAACAAACAAATATCATAAAACGAGGAGAAAAAATTAATTTTACCTTTCTTTTATTTCAGACAACATTATTTTAACATCATAAAATCTAATTAAATCAATTTAATTGAAATCATCCAATTCATCAGGTATTGCATTTCGTGATGTTAAAGAAATTTTATTTATATTTGTAGATCTTGGTTGTGTTGAGACTGTTTGGCGCACCATTGAAGATGTGCATCCAGGAAAAATAGATGGGGGATCAACAGGAACCTAAAAAAGATATTATTAAAATTAGTCATTGTAAAACTTATCAATAAAAACAACTTTAAGGATGCTTACCTCAAACTTTGATCGAGGAGGCTTGTACATTTTGCAGCCTGGTGGCCAGTGTTTTTCACACACACCCATATTTGAAGTTACTTTTTCAAACGCATTTGGAATAGATGACAACAAATATTGTAACTTTTGTGTGTCACTTGGAAACATGTGAACATGAAGCTTTTCTTCTGAAGTTGATGTTAAATAATTTGTGGTACAATTAACTATTGAACATTTTCTTGGCATGATTATAACTAATAATAGTAACACCATTATTATTTATTATAAATATGACATAACATTTTGTAACACTTAATAGATTTATTACTTAAAATAAATTACTCAAATTAAAAACTACTTAATACAATTTTTTAATCTTACTACTTTCAAAAAATAAAAAACTTTTGATTTTTCAATAAAAATAGCAACTTTTTTCACAAAAAAAAAGGCTTTTTTTTTTTAAATGTTGTAAATATCTCCCAATATTTCTATTGCATTAACCAATATTTTATCAGTACGATACTGATGAAAAATATATACATTATATTAGTAATATAAATTTGTATCACTTTAATGTATTCTAAAATGTGAATATAATTAGATTAATGTAAGTTTTTCATAACTTCTTTGCTAAATCAAACTAGCATTGCCATTTACAATCGGCCCTGTCGTCGTTTTAGCATCGATTTGAAGTTTCGCGTCCCGTTATTTTAGTAGTCCCTGTTTATTACATAATTTATACATGTTTATATTTACTTATAAAGTTTATTACATAATTTATACATGTTTATATTTACTTATAAAGTTTATTACATAATTTATACATGTTTATATTTTCTTATAAAGTTTATTATAATTTATATATGTTTATATTTACTTATAAAGTCTATTATATAATTTATACATGTTTATATTTACTTATAAAGTTTATTATAATTTATACATAATTTATACATGTTTGTATTTACTTATAAACGAAAATTTATAATTTTATATCTATTTTATTACAGGCATATCTTTTACCACTCAATACAACAGGAACAATCAAGTTGAAACTTGGTGCAATATGGAGGTTGAAAAGATTTTGAAAACGTTATTGTCATAAATGTTTTAAAAAATTCATTATTTAGACATGTAACATTTATATGAAATTGCTAATGTTATTTTTTATGTCATTTATTTCCAATATGTTATTTTTACTTTAAATTTTAAATATAAGTATTATCATAACAAATCACTTTTACAAATGTTAACATACAGAATTATTATTGTTATGGCTTTCAATTTGTTTTTTAATTTGATTATATTTTTGATTTTAATAAATCATAATGTTTTTCTAGTATCACACTTCAAACTCATGACTACACTTCAAACCCATCACCACATTTCAAACCCTTTATCAAACTTCAAACACATAGCCACACTTCAAACTCATTACCAACCTTAAACCCTTCACACCACTACTCCTTTTAGTATCAGCCCTCAGTATTATTTTTGCCATTCGGCAATGTCGACCTAGAAGTTGTTTCTATGTTTTATGGTAAAAGTTCCACAAAATATTGCTGACCTCATTTCAAAACAACAACCAGAAATTAGACTTTAAACTTCCTGATGTTGTAAAATATGACTAAGAGTCTTGTTTTATTTGACTTAATACCAGTTGATTTACTAATAATGGAGAATCTCATACAACATTAGATGAAATTGTTCATTCTGTATGTGCTTTGGTTAACTTATGTCTATCTTTAGTAGCATTTAATTAGCAAATAATTAAATGCTACTAAATTAGTTTAGTAGCATTTAATTATTATAGAAGGAAATATTATTTTATCTAAATCTTTTTTTTAAAGTAACTTTTTAAACTCTCTCTCTCTCTCTCTCTCTCTCTCTCTCTCAAGAAGTTAAATTTGTACTTGGTAGCAATATCCTTGGCCTTTGTTAACTGTTTTTTTCTAGTTAAATATTTTTTTATTTCAATCTTGTTTTTTCTATAACTCTATGGAAATTTAATTTCTAGTCATATTAAAAAAAAAAAAAAAAAACACTCAACAATACCATCTGCTACTTCAAAGTTATAAGATTCAGTAGAGTATTCATGAGATGATTCAAGGAATGTTCTTAGAGTAGCTGCCTGTAATTTTGATTTATTTAGTTAGTTAAAAAAACATTTTGTTGTTAACTTTGCTGGTGAGTTTGGTGGTAACCATGGTGAGTTTAGTAACCATTAAGAATTACAATCAGTTACTGTTTTCACTGTTCTCACATTTTAACAGTTTTATCCAAAATAGAACTGCAGCAATATGTGTACATACTTCAATGAGGCCTACCTTGCAACTACAGTGTGGATATTAAATTCTGCAACAATTTGTGGATTAATTAGGGTATTATTAAGATGTTGAGAATAAAACAACTAAAAATTTTACCAAATATATTATTTTTTAACAATTTCTCAGCATTCCTGATCCAACCTTCTAAAACTTGATTATACGCTTCCGTGCCTTTATATCCTCAGCTGTATAAGAACTTCGTGAAAATAATAATTTAATAAATCAGTGTAAGTCGCAACTGGAAAAGTTTCTTCATTGTTTTTGCATTCGCTATCTATGTGCCTTTGTATAAGATTTGTGATCATATCTGGTTTTGAAAGATACTTCTAGTGTTTTTTAGTACGACATTTCTTTACTGTATATATAGTTCTTAAGCTTGATATTAGTTTTAATAGTTGAAAAATTAAATCACATATTAAATACTATATTAATAAATTGATATTGGTACTAAAACCTAATTAAAACCTTTGACAAATGGTAATTATATATATATATATATATATATATATATATATATATATATATATATATATATATATATATATATATATTCATATATATATATATACATATATATATATATATATATATATATATATATATATATATATATATATATATATATATATATATATATATATATATATATATATATATATATATATATATATATATATATATATATATATATATATAGTAGAAAATAAAACTATGTGATTTTCACAACTTTAAGTTTCATGCTGTTACAATCATCAGGTGAAATACAAATATAGTCTATTCGTTTAAAAAATTATATACCCTTGAAACTATACAGAAAAAACCTATAGAGAAAAAACTTCTTTTATTGTTATGACTGCGTGTATCTAATCTTCTCTTTTTTTTTTATTAATTAGCTCTTCAACATTTTTATAAAGTAAAATGATTAGTTTTTCATATAAACAAAGTGAACAATTTTTTGTTGTATTGTTGTAGGCAGTTGTAATATAGTTATTTTGTAAAATTTTATATTGTTTAATATTTAAAATTAAACTATCAGCAGTATTTTAGGAGGTAATGACTGAGGAATGAAGGAATGAGGAGGTATTGTTCTGTAGTTTTAAAAAGTAATGACTGTATTGTTCTGTAGTTTTAAGAGGTAATAACTGTATTGTTCTGTAGTTTTAAGAAGTAATGACTGTATTGTTCTGTAGTTTTAAGAGGTAATGACTGTATTGTTCTGTAGTTTTAAGAGATAATGACTGTATTGTTCAGTTTTTAGATATAAGAAAAACTTTAAGCATCAGAATAACTAAACTATTGAAAACCTTGACACTGAATTTCACAGTCTTTGATAAACAAAAAAGATCTCATCACCAATCTTTGCCTAGAAGCCAATGTTTTAACAAAGTTGATTAAATTAACATAATTGTATTAAAGTAATGAAAAAAAAATTAGTTAAGAGACCAATCCAATTGCACAATGCAAGGTAGATGTCAAAATTACTATACTCTATAAAACTTACTATTGAACAAGAAAATCAGTCAGCTACCTAATGAAATAGTTTTTGCTTGATAACAACTTACTAAGCTACAATGGATTGTTCTCTTTGTTGTATTTTTTTCAAGTTCATGGTGGCTAAGTGAATCTATATCTTCAATATAATTTAAATTGTAAGTAGGAGATATCATCTTATCTCCATCATCTTATCTCCTACTTACAATTTAAATTTTATTAATTCATAATTAGAGTATTTAACTATTAATCAATGTTCTGAATTGAATTGAATTGAATGTTTTTCTTTTTTGTAACCCAATGTTCCATTCTCAAGACTTATCTGCGAGGGCAGCGAGACAGCATAACAATCATTTTGTTATCTGCGAGGGCAGCGAGAGCAGCGAGGGCAGCGAGGCCATAACAATCATTTTGTTAGAAAAATGAAAAGTGATTAATTGCTTCCAGAAAACTTGCAAAAAAAATAAAAATTCAAGACACAAAACAGAAAAATTGTACAATTAGGGTTAATAGCAGAACTCAAACATATTGACCTCCAACTTAATGATTACTTTGTTAAAGAGTTTGAATTTTTTTAGAATTACATTTGTCGAGGAAAATAATTTGCTTAAACTGATACAATTTATCAGACCAATGAATGTCAATAACTTTCTGTGGCAAATAATGAAAAGTGTACTTGTCCTCAATATCAGTTTTTTAAGTAATTTGATTTTCAAAACTTTAATATAGGTTATTTAGGTTTGAATGCCATTTAAACTCCTGCAGGGTGGCCACTGGTCATGGAAATCATGGAAATGTCATGGAATTTTGTTTGGTTATGGAAAAAGTTGTGGAATTCCAAAAATTTTCATTGAAAGTCATGGAAAATTCATGAAACTTTTTTAAATGATTTTTATTTTTTACTACTAGTGATATTTTTAGGATGCAAAATCATTTTTGAAAAAGGTATTTTTGCAGTGTAAGTTATAAATTATCTTTTTATTGCAATTAGTCAGATTAGGTCACCCTTTTCAAAAGTTAGTTTAAATTTTAGTATTTATCAAAGTACTTAACAAATAATTAAGACACACTTTTAAACTTTGTTCGAGTTTGTATCAATCAATTATGGTTAGGTCAGTTCACTACTACTAGTTGCTACTGGCAACATGTAATCCAGTACAATCTGTTTCATAGCATCTCTTGAGCCACGGTAAAGGCTGCTTACTTGGGAAAACTGATACTAACCCTCTAATTTAGTTCTGGGTAAGGCTAGAAGGAGCTCATGTACTATGGATTGTAATCTTCCTAAATCGCAATAAAAATACTCAGTCCTGATCTTCAAAACAGATTAACAGCTTGATAGGCATTTGATTTTTGTTTCTTGAAATTAAATATTTTTTATTGACTGTTGTCACAGGGCTTTAGGATTTCTTTATTGTTGAGTTTGTTTTAAAATGAGAATAAGTACATTCTGGAATATTGACAAAGTACATTTATAATTTTATAAATGCTTTTATATTTGATTTAAGAACTTTACTGAAAAAATATGTTAGTGAAAAAAATGATATCTAGAACATATGGACAAAGTTACATTTCATTACAGGTTTATTTCTTGAGATACAGCTATTTACATACAGAATATACACCATTTATTGCTAAATAAACAATTTTTTTTTGTATGGCCACCTATGTGTGATTTTTACATTGCAACACTCCTAGTTACAGGAAAATTGTCATTAAAAGCATTTTAAGCCTTTTTTTTCTATATTTTTTTTTGTGGCAGTTTCATTAAAAATGCTTTCTGCTATTTCTGAAGCATGTTTTTAAACCTCATTTTTGAATAAATTTTCAGAATAAAGTAAAATAAATTGTAGTAAAAACACATTAAAAAACTCTAATAAAAGCATGTCATTTGCAATAATTGTCAATAGTTAGTAGCTAAAGTATAATGATTCGACAGCTATTTGAAAATTTTAAGGCAGGATCTGTAAAAGCATTTATTATAGCACTGGTATCAGAAGTATCATAAACAAATCATTATGTTTTAAATTAGAGCTTGTCAAGTACCGTTTTAATCATTATTAAAATGGTACTTGACAAGCTCTGTTTGGATAAAATAAGCTTTATAAAGTACTAGTAGCCTACTTTTGTGCAGATGTTAAACTCTGCCAAGTAATGTGTTTATGTCTCTAAGTTCCATGGCAACTAATCCATGTTATATTTGTATATGGATAATCTTGTGAACATTTTATGTAAATTTAAATCGAATATTGGTAGAAGATACCTGAATAACAATTACAGTGAAATTACACATCACATTTAATTTCTTAGTGCTTTCTGTTAATATAGTAGCGTTGTAGTAGAACATGGTAGTGGTGTTGTGGTAGAGCGCTTGCTTCATAAGCAAGAAGTTATGAGTTCAATCCCCACCACGTCCCTGGTAGTACCACGCTCAACTTGTTTCTCCGTGCAGCAGCCTTGTTTGTCAAGGTTCGTGTTTCGGAGTTATAAAGTTGAGAGAGGGTTATAATCGCAATTAAGTAGCCTCCTCATCTGTAGTGGCCTTCTCAGCCTTGGGGAGGTGAATTAACAAAATATATATATATATTTAATAATAATAATTTATATAGTGAATAATCAGAGGAAGCAATTTACTCATTTCTAAAGAAAACACCGAAATGTTCAAAAGTTTCTTACAACCAATGCAAGTATGCAAAGTATTTGAAAAAAGTAAGAGTTGGTTTTAATGGAAAACATTTATTTAATGTTTAATAAACAGTGATACTTTCTTAAAATATTGCCATGTTTTCTTCTTAATTTGGCTTTGATTTCTTATTGGAGAAAATATTTCTTTATGAATAAGCATTATTAATTAATATTGCACTCAAAACATCCATCAAAGTGCTGTTTCATGTTTATACTTCTCAAAACATCCATCAAAGTGCTGTTTTTATGCCATTCATCAAAATACTTTACAAAAAACTGTTTATATATTAATCCTCATCAAATAATTGCACTAAAATTTTTATGCAAAAACTTGTTGCATATACAAGTTTTATTTTTAATATTTTGATAAATATAGTTTTCAATAATTCAATCAAATAAATTTTCAGTTCAAACTCCTAATGAACAAATTAATATAGTTATAATTTTTATTTTTAATTTTATGTTTAAATCAGTGCATGATACCAACACACAAAATCAACCTTCATGATAAGAAGAGTAAAAAACACATTTTTTATGATTTTGTTTTAACATTATTAATTAATTTAGACCATGCAATTCGGTGCGTTCTTCAAATATCGAGTACACAAATAATTACAGTAACATGGTACCTCTTGCACACAGTTTAAGGTTTGATTTTATATACAATCAATCAATATAGTTCTGAAATCAACCAATCAATATAATTCTGAAATAGTTGGTATTATATTTTAAGGTTGTTTAAAAATAATAAAACTGCTAACATTTAGTAAACACCTAATAACAATGAATAAAAATAATAATGGTTATAATAATTTAAATAATGTTTATAATAATAGTTATAACCACAATAATATTAAAAAAAAACAAAAACAATAATAATAGTCATAATAATAACAATAATAAATATAATGAGTCACTTGTTTTTATAAACAAAATAGCTAAATATAAGTTAGTTACAAAGAGTTAACTGGTAAAGAATAACATAAAACAGTTATTTAAATTTAAGAATAATAAAATAAGAAAAATGATATTATAGTTAAAAATAATAATATTTGTGATTATGATAAATATTTAAAATTAAAAGAAGTAATACTATCAAAAGAAGTAATACTATCAAAAAAATAATAATAATAAAAAAGAATAACAAAAATATAATAAAACTTAAAGAAAAATGAAAGAAAAATAAATAAGCTTTTAAAAAATATATATATTTAAAAAAATGTCCAACCAAATTAAACTAAAAAAAATGCACAACAATGCAAACAACTCACACTTAACAATATAAACAATACTACAATATACTACAATGAACAATACACAAGAACTACAATATACTACAATGAATAATATACAAGAACTACAATATGAATGAATAATACACAAAAACTACAATATACTACAATGAACAATACACAAGAACTACAATATACTACAATGAATAATACACAAAAACTACAATATACTACAATGAACAATACACAAGAACTACAATATACTACAATGAACAATACACAAGAACTACAATATACTACAATGAACAATACACAAGAATACAAAACAACCAAAAATGCAAACAGCGTACAAAATTACATTTAAAATAAACAATGTACAAAAATACAGGATAGATTAAACAAAACACTAAAATACATTACAGTATGAACAATGTAAGAAAACAATTTAAAAAATTAAAGTTAAAAAAATCATTCTTTTTCTTTCTTTTTTAGCTGGTAGTAAAATTTCTTTTTTATTTTTATTTTCCATAACTATAACTAAAAATACAAATCATAAAAAAAAATTTAAACTTAGTATTTTTTTTTATGGTAGTTTTTTTTTTTTTTTTTTTCCTGTTCTTTTTTTCTTCAGTCTATTTATTCATATCTATTTATATTATTTGATTTTATTTTTATATTGTTTGTTGCTGTTTTTTTATTTGGTTTTTTTTATTAAATAAATTTTGATTTTCTTCTTCATTTTTCTTATTTTTTCTTTTTACTATTAAAAAATGCCTCCACCATTTCCAATGTCATTGTAAAGACTGATTTAAAACAAATAACTTGACAAATAGGTTGTCATAAAAACTTGCTAATCATAGTATCAAATAAAGCATTTGATGTTTAAAGCTTTTTTTGAACTTTTAACAACATTAAAATAAATTAGCAACAAGCAACACTTTAATATTTTTTTAATAGAAATAACTAGAGAGTTAAATCAAAAATGTTTAAATCAGTTAATTCTTTGAAATAAAATAGACTTAAAATATATTACATAAAGTTTAATAAATCATAAAGTCTTTTAAAGGGACTATTTACATTGAACATCAAATTTTTTTGTTTAAATACGTTAGGTATTTATTTAAAAATAAAGGGAATGAGTTATATATTCTTAATGCAATATATAACAGTATTATATATTATATAATTAATGAATTCAATAAATTTGCTTGATATATTTATTGATATATATTTAAAATATTTATATAACTACATATGTGAATTTATTATATTAGTTATTATGTTTAAATATAAAAAATGGTTTTAATCAATTATTATTGGTCTTTTAATTTATTTATAAAAATTTAGTTTAAATCAAAAAAAATTTTTTAAACATACAATGCAATCTATTTTTTGCAACACAGTTTTTTTTTCTTAAGTTAACTTACTTTTCAATAATTAATCTTCAACACAGTTGTTTGTTTTTGTGCAACATGGTTGTTCAATCTACAACACAGTTGTTCGTTTTTGTGCAACATGGTTGTTTAATTTACAACACAGTTGTTTGTTTTTCTTTACTTACTTTGTAATAGCTTCATTATTATACAAGGGTTCATCTTTCCCCACTCTACTCTATAATGTTTTTTTATAATGTTTTTTAGTTATATTTTAAATAATTGTGAAACCATACTTTTTTCTTTTATTCATACTTTAAGGTATTTTTTCTGTATTTATAAAGAAGAAAAAATCTAAAAGTGATGACTTCAATATTGCTTTCACTTTTTTTAGTGCTTCTTCACCCACCAGTCCTCAACCACCTTTTTTGGATCCACAAAAAAGCGGAGGAAGTTTTCCTGCTGTTATAAATCAATTGTCAAGTCGCATAGATAATGAAAAAGTTAATAATGATGAAGATTTGAAAGCAAAAAGAAATTCTCCGGCATATAGTCAAAGTTTTCTATCTTCAGATAATATAAGTAAAAACAGACAGTCAAGTAGTTTTAAGGAACTTAAAAATGAAAATGTGACAACTCCTCAACGTAAAGCAAGTTTAAATGATCCAGTTAACAATATCAAAACTACACAAGTTCCTATTAAATCAAACTATTCTCCCACTGCCAATAAAATAACTAATGTTCAATCAATAGATCAAGTCATATCAAATTATAACAACAAGCAAAATAAAGACAATATTTCTCAAAATGAAACAGATTCCTCTACGAATGATAGGAATTTTATATCATTAAAAATGGATGATAGATCATCCATTAATGAAATAATTGATGTATGTCAGAGTATTGTGCAGTCACTAAAACTTAAGCCAAGTAAATTTAGTTTTTTTTTTTAATATATATAGTTTATTCATTTTTTTTTTTATTTTTTTTATATTGAGGATAGTTAAGGTTTTTTTTTTTCAGCCTAGTAGCTTTGCAGCTATTTTAATTGCTGTGATAAAATTATAGTTAACTAAAAATGTTTTAATTTTTCTTATTAAAAAATGAATATGATAAAAAAAACTTTTTCAAACTTTGAATTTTACATGTTTATTAATTTTTTATTCTTTCCCCAGTTGTTCTATTATTGTTCTAACATTATTGAATACATATTTTCAAAGATTTCTGAAAAAATTCATAAAAATTATTTGTTTTAAAAAACGTTTTACAAAGAGTTTATATTTACATTGTTTGCGTTTAACCATCTCTATTTAATAATTTTTTTTCATTGCGTTTTTCTCGAAATACATAATAAGCATATTAAGGCGTTTTGAAAAACAGATGCAGCACATTTACATTTATTGTAAAAAATAATTTTTTTTTCAGTAAAATCAAACTAAAGATTGAAAATTTTTTTATTTTAGTTTTTAAATTTTTTTGCAACTCAACCCTTAACTCTAAAACTTGTTTCTGCACGAAAACGAGGTTTCTCCATAGAGAGTTTGAGCGCAGTACTTTAATAGGCAAAGAGTGGATTTGAACTTCAAACCACTTGATTGTGAGCCAAATATTCTAACATTAGCCTTAATTATACAGACCATAAAAATTTTAAAATTTATTAGTTTTTTAAAGTTCAACTGTTATTTTGAAAAAACTTTCTGTGCTAAAGTTAAGAAAGTCCCTTCAGTCAAGATTTTGTAAACAAAGGCAAATTTAAACAAAAAAATTAAATAAATTACTTTGAGATATTTTAAAAGCAGTGAAGTAGTCGCCAGAATATTTGAATCTAGTTGAATAAATTTTTAAATTTTATAATTTTGTTACTCAGGAATATTTTAAAAGCACAGGAAATGAAGAATTTAGTTAATATATGTAGGAACAAAAATGACTGAACTTTATAATGTAACCAGGAATTAAAATTATGAAAAGATTATGTCAGCACAAAACTATTAAAACAAACCTGACTGGTTATTAATAAGGTTTTTTAAGAATAACCTTTTTTAAGAAACCTTACCTTTTTAAGAAACCTTACCCTTGAAAGACTGACAAACTTAATTGAATTATGCATCAATTTCACAGATGTTATTTTTCAGTTAGAAATTTAAAAGCCTGGATAGAATTTTCAAAAAATCATCTTATTTAATCAGTTAATGGCACTACTCTGAGAAACAAAGTTGAGCGTGGTACTACCAGGGATGGGTTGGGACTCGGAACTTCTTGCTTATGAAGTGAGCACTTTACCACTACACCACAAGTGTGTGTACATAATTATAGCATGATTGTTATTTTATTAAGTTTTAAAATCTAGTAATATATTTTATTAGTTAAAACTTTAAGTTTATCAAGTTTTAAAATCTAATAATTTATTTAATTAGTTAAAATCATAGCTGTTACATTTGATCTTAAATATTTTACATCTGATAAAAAATAATATTAAACAAACCTTAAACATGCAAATGTTTAAGGTTTGTAAACATGCAAATGTTTACAAACCTTAAACATTTGCATGTTTACAGTTTTTTAATAGTATTTAAGAGCAGATTTGATTAGTCTATTAAATTTAGCCTTGGTATAGTTATGTTAAACACATGTGGAGAAGAAACATCTTAATTAAAAGCATTAAACTTTTTTTAAATTTAATACATGCTAAGATTTTCTTTAAATACATTTAAAGTAAGAAATGTGGAAGTGTTACACAAAGCAAACTGAAAATAAGTCACAATACCTAAGAGAACTGTTATTGAAACATGGGGGATTATGTTCTGCAGCTTTTAAGCAAATGATTCAGATGAAGTAAATTTAATTTGTTGTAAAAAATGTCTATAATATTCAGAGCTTTTTAAAAGTTGTCAGAATAAAGGCTGTGCTAACAAACCAACAGAAGTGTTTGCACATCAGTCACAAAAAAGATTAACTTTTAGACTATATTTTACATTCTCATACATATGCGACATACATATGCAACATGCAACAGCTAAGCTAACAGAAGCTAACTAATGCTAACAGATTGAATGAAACAGATCTAAGACTGAATGAAACTAAATAAAAAACTCAAAATTTTAACAATTCCAACCAATTTTTTTTGTTAAAAAACAACTTCGAAACTAAAAGATCACTAATTCATAATTAAATATACTTACAAGTTTAATTTCTACATTTTTTAAAAAATTATTGTCTGTAGCTATGCTCTTATAAAGCAATTTTTTTATAATCAGATAATCATTACCCTTTTTATAACAGAAAGCAAAAAAACCAAATAAATTTTATGCCAACCTGATGTCAGCTAAGTACAGCACTCTTGTGCTGACCTGAACTCCTTTTTGAATTTTGCAGGTTGGTAATGTAAGAATTAGGTATGTCAGATGTTTAATAGGAGACAAGCTCAATCCAAAATATCAGTCATCAACTGTTAAACATAGAGGAAGAAATGCTATGTTTTGAGGGTGTTTTATTCACGACAATGTGAGCGTCTTTGGGATTACATCAGCAGGCAATTAGATGGTAAAAAATCAACCATTTATTTGCTATCATTAAAAAGTATGAATACAAAATTCCTCAGAATGTTCTCATCAGTTTATTTGATTCCATGCCTTGTTGCTGTGGTTTGATGCCTTGTGTCTTGATGCCTTGCTGTGATTTGATGCCTTGTGCCTTGATGCCTTGTGCTGTGTTTTAAAGACAATTAAAACAGTAACTATGCCAACTGATACTATCTTATTATAACAATTTTTTTGAAAAAATATAATTTTCAAGTTTTAGCTTTTTTGAAATAAATATTACCCAAAATTCAGTTGTTTCTAAACTTTAGAACGGAAGCTTTTTTTCAAAAAAATAAAAATAAAATAAATCCATTAAATTTTACAATTTTTGGGATGTTTGTATTAAAATAATATTCGGTAAAAGTTTCAGTTTATTTGAGGAAGTTTGTGAAAAGTTATGTATTAAAAATTGAAAAAAGTTTTTTAACTTTTTTATGCTACTTGTTGTTTTTAAATAATTTCTTTTTATTTTAAACTTTTAAAATAATTTTTATTAATTAATTTTAATCTAATTAAAAACTTTTAAAATAACTTTTATTTTAATCAATCAGAAAGTTATGGGATCTTTATATAGGATCTCAAAATATATTTTTCTCAAAATATATTGTATTATTGTTTTAAAAAATAAAAATATGTTTTAAAAAGTATTGATGTTCATTATTAAGATATTATTTTAAAGTTCTAGTCATTTAAAATAAAAAAAAATAAAGAACTTAATAAAATAAAGAGTTCTTTAAAAAATATCATTCTTTGGTTTGAAAAAAATGGCAAACAAAATGCAGATTTCACAGGCACAGATGTTCATTCCAGTATTAAAGTATCATTCCACATTAAAGTCTCTCTCACATTCCAGTGTTAAAGTATCTCTCACATTATGTGCTATAAAAGTTTTATAATTTTATCAAATGCTATTAGCCCAAATATTTTGGAATAGGTTTAACTAATTACTATTAGTCCAAATATTTTCGAGTGAATTTAACTTATTATTATAAGTTCAAATAATTTGGAGTAAATTACAAATAAGTTATGTTCAAAACCGTTTAATTGGATTTAGTACAAAAACGTTTTTTTTTTCTGACTTCTGGCTTTACTATAACAAGTTAAAATTTTGGAAAAAAAAAATTTTAATTTAAAATTAATGTCAAAATGACATATTTAATAAAAAATAATTTACTCGTTATTTTGTAGTTTTTGTCTTTTGCTTTTATGAAGGAAAGTTTGAAAAAAAATTTTTTTTTAAGTTCATTAATAAAAGTTAAATAAAAAATTAATATAGTTTAACTTTGATCTAGAATTTTCCAAAAAGTTTGTTTAACCCGTAACCTTCATTATATTGTTTTAAAAAATAAAAATTTCATGCCTAATTAATAATTATTAAGGCTAGAAAAATATAATTGAATGCAATATAAATAACAGTTAAAAAATTATTTCAAATTGTGTTAAATCAATCTTAGTCTATGATAAAATTAATTTTTTTATTTTTATTAGCGTAGTTTAAGAATATTACCAAAAAAACAGGGGTAGTTTAAGATTATTACCAAAAAAATACCAATGATAATTTTTTACAATGATTATTTGAGAATAATAATTAAAAAAATAGGTTAAATAAAGTTTTAAAAAAATTTTTAAAGAAGTTAAATTTTTTTTGTAAAATCGTGTTATTTGAAATATTGTTAATATCACTTAAGATCACATAGTTTGAGATAATGATGTGATGAGGTGATCACCTGATGATGTGTTAAGGTGCTACAGTTTCTTTTTATATATTTTTTACCATAAGAAATTATGTAGCAAGATTTTTTGTATTTTTTTGTTGTTATTAAAAATTATCTTGCTTGTATTTTGTTTGTAGTAAAAATTTTATGCTTTTTTTGTTATCATAATTTTTGTTATCAGAGATTATGGAACAATGTACTTCACTTATTTCACGCATATTTATCGTTAAAGACTCAATGATGGTTGGTACTTTATTTTAGTAACCTTTTTCTTTTGTTTACTTTTTAAATATAAATTTTAGTTTTTTATTTATATATGAGACTTTGCTAAATGACAAGAGAGAATGAATTTTAGTTGATGGAACTAAAGATGATAGCTCCTTGATAAGCGACCATGATAGTATTTGTAAAAAAGAGAAAGAGACACAATTTTATAATTATGGGAGAAAGGCTCAAGCCTGGCTGATAAAGTGGGTCAAACTACGTTTACAATTTGTTTTTAACCTTGTCTAGGGAAGAAAGAGCATCATTAGAAGAACCAGCCCAAATTTGCCATCAGTATTCCATGTCGAATAAAAGGTTTTTAGAGGTTGAGAATGGAATCAGAAGTAAGACAATGGCAAGCACAATAAAGAAAAGCAACCTAAAAGCAGATACTTTGCAATTGATTGTATATATGGTTTCCAAAAAATTCCAATGATAAAAAAGTTAAAATTCAAAGTTAAAATTCAAACTCCATTTTGAATTTTAACTTCAATAAAAATAAAACACTGCAAGCTCCAGTCTGTAACAGAAGTGAGATCAGATTCAAGATTGTCTATTCTAAAAAATCAAAAAAAAAAACTTTTTGTCAAGGCAGGAGTATCTGGTTAAATCATGCCAAACATTTTAAGTCTAAAAATTTCAGGTTTTTCTTAACAACTGTTGAACAACTTTTTTTTAACTTTATTTTTGAGGTTGCAGTTCAAAAGACAACTGTTACTTCAGAGTCAACATCAAAATCAAAATCTTTTATATTTATTATCTCTTTAACTGTACACAAACCATTAAAAGCACCAAAAACAACTTGATTTGGTTGGATAAACTTCATTACCGAATTCTATAAAATGTCTGCTATAAATCTAGCTTAATGTTCAGCAGTTTGTTTATGTATAATAAATCCAGAAACTTTCACTTTCTTTTAGAAAACAACATTTTGTCACTATTGTTTATAATCATTTCTAGGGGAAGTATAAAATTTGAAGCTTGTTTGCAAAAAGAAACTAACTTCACACCACAAAAAGTTGTTAAGATATCAAAGAGAAAAACAATCCATATACATTATTTTGATATTTTATAATAAACATCTTTGAAACATCTCTAAATAGATTTTGATCTTTGCTTTTGGTGATTGGTGATTGGATTTTATACATTTTATATGTGTTTTTTTTAAGAATGACTGAATGAATGACTGAATGAATGACTGGCATAGTTAAAACTTGCAATCATGTTGCTACAGAGTGTAAAATACTCTGTAGCAAAAAATACTGTAAGAAACTTCTTAGCAAACTTTGCACAAATACTTTAAATAAAATTTTAGCTGGCACTAAATTGAGTAGAGACCTCCGAGATTCAATGACCTTGATTTAGGAAGTAGGAACCAAAAAAAAAAAAAAAAGACCAAAAAAAAAGAGGTAAAAAAAAGTAAAAATTAGTAGCAGTTAGCATCAAATATATAATAAGATAAAGATTATCAAATAATAAGATAAAGATTATCATATATATAAAGATTATCAAACATATAATAAGATAAAGATTATCATATAAATAAAGATTATCAAGTATTCATTTTGTTTCTATTCTTTAAGAACCTTCATGGATTCTGTTATGTAAACAATTTTAAAAATGTATTCTACAATATAGAATGCTCAATGTTCTTAAAAGAACAGAGCAGTTATAAATTAGTAGAAAATCACTTAACAAAAATATTTTTTCATTTTTCAAAATATTTTTGTTAATTGATTTTCTACTAATTTATATATATATATATATATATATATATATATATATATATATATATATATATATATATATATATATATATATATATATATATATATATATATATATATATATATATATATATATATATATATCAACTTCTCCTTTTTTCACTTTTTTTACTTATTACTTTTTGCAGGGCTTATTATATCACAGTTGTATTATTATCTCAAATAACTTTCAACAATATGTATAATTTTTTTTTAATATATAATATATATATATATATATATATATATATATATATATATATATATATATATATATATATATATATATAACGTCTGTTCACAAAAAATCCAGAAAGAAAAATTGAATAATAATTAATTGAATACAAAATAAATTGATTTTTGACAAAAATTTTAAGTAAAATGAGAGACTAAACATCGTTAACTATTTTATAACCGAAAGTGGTCCTAAATCAGCGGCTTTTCGAACTTTAGTTTTGACTGAATCCATTAGGTTGAAAAAGTAGTCTGGATCAAACTCTTTCAACTTTAATCGAATTCTATTCTTAAGGTGGTCAAGATTTTTCGCAGTAAATCCATAAACTTTTGCTTTTAAATGTGCCCAAAAATTTTCAATTGGCCTTAACTGCGGTACATTTGGGGGGTTACAAAGTTAATACCTAAAGTGTTGTAAGTTTCTAATGTGTGTTTTGCATAATGATATCTGGCTCCGTCAGGCCGAAATAAAACTTTAATGTTTTGATGCTTGGAATTTATAAATGGATGAAGTCTTTTTGTAATACATTCTTTAGAATAAGTTTTTGCATCCAGTGCACAGTTTTTTACAGCAAAAAAAGGCGATGAATGGCTGAAACGACTGATTGCAATCCAAACGAGAACTTTCTCGTCAAACTTTTTTTTGAAGTTGAATTTAATGTTAGGATCAGTTTGAGAACTATCCTTTGTACAGTAGCCAGAGTTTTGTGAACAATTTGCACCATTTACACAGAAATACGATTCATCGTCCATGATGATTTCAGTCTCATTTAATGGCTTGAAAAAAGTTTTTGAAAGTTTTAATAAGTTTTTCTTTTGTTTAATTTCTTGCTACTCTGTTGTTTTTGGTGCATTTTTTCTTTTGGTATACTTCAGCCCATGCATACTTAATATTCTATTTACATATGAATTTTAGTGCCAATTTTCTTTGCGAAATCCCGATTCTCTCTTCTGCTCTTGCAATCATGGACTCTTTTCTGGTGTGATTTTAAAATGTTTTCTGCCGCAACCGATTTTTCTTTTCATTGGCAAATTATTTTCAGATCTTTTAATTATGTCATAAATATATATATATATATATATATATATATATATATATATATATATATATATATATATATATATATATATATATATATATATAAGAATATATATATATATATATATATATATATATATATATATATATATATATATATATATATATATATATATATATATAAGAATATATATATATATAAGAATATATATATTTTTAAATGAACAAACTTTTACTTATTCTACAAACATGTTTTAGTTTTAAATCCTAACAGAAAAGAAGTTTTTGAATTTAGAAATCATCACCAGAAGATGTGTAGTGCAAATGTGTAGTGAAAACTCATCTTATTGTTGCTACTGTAGTGCTTAACTGATTGTAAGATGAACTGATGAAAAGTCCTGGGACTAAGTGAGATAAAGAGTTTTACTGATAAAGTCCTGAGTTTAAGTGAGCTTGAGAGATAAAGTCCTGCGATGAAGTGAGTCTGAGAGATGAAGTCCATGAAATTATGTTGTTTTGTCTGTATTACATAAGTTATATATTGTAACACATATTGTTTCACATACCATGAAAAGTTTAACAAAGGAATCTTTAGGAGAAAAAATTATAAGTTAGTTTTTCAGAAATTGACATTCTTTTATTAATTTTACTTAATTTTTGATTAAATTAAATGCTTTGCCCAAATACAGAAGCTTAAAGTAACAAAAAATTTATTTTTTGGTAGCTAGATAACATTAATGAAAAGCTCTTTGTCTTTTGGTCTTTTGGTAGCAATGTAATGTTAACGAAAAGTCTCTTAGCCTTTTGGTTTTTTGGTAACAATTTAACAATAGCAAAAACTTTATTTTCTTTAAGTTTTCTACCAGAATATTACATCATATATTATATACTGTTATATATAATTATATGTAGACTATAAGGTTTCACTTAAAAATTACTTGAAAGTAAAATTCCATTTTACTTATTTTAATTTTGAAATTTCAGTTAAGCAAAACTTTGTATGAAAGTGAGGCAAACTATAAACTATAAGTTTTAATAAAATTACAACTTATAGTTATAATTTTTACAAATTAAATTTTACAATTTTTTCTATTTTAGGACTTGTTTTATTAAATTTTACTAAATTTTTAGCAATTAAAGAACAGCTATGAACGAAAAGCTTCGCTCACCGACTCGATAAGTGATGCTCTTGATACATTTTCTTTTTTATCTGATTTGGATGAAACTGAAAAATCATCCAAAACAGTAGAAAGTCAGCCTTCTATACAAACCGTCACAATTCTTCGCAATCAATGGAAAAAATGTTATAGAGTTCTCTATCATCATGTATGCTCCATAAAAGAAGCCATAGATGCTTCACAACCAGCAAACTCTCCTTTAAAAGAAATGGAGAAGATTATACTTCCTCATATTACTAAACAGTTGGAGTTTATTAATATAATATTAAAAATTGCTTCAACTCCTGATGAGATTGAACTTTCACAAGGTAAGTTTAAATTTAACAAATTAAAAATTAATTTGTTAAAGTCAAAATGATAAATATTAATAAAAAAGTTATAATAATCACTGAAATAGTAACAATAGTAAATCAACAGTAACAGTAGGTTCTTTACTGAATGTGTGTGTATGTATGCATGTATATACACCTATAGTATCACTTACGGGGACAGATTTTACAAAAAAAAAAAAAACACTTATGGGGACATTAGCATTATCAAGGACATTTTAGTGTACCCATTAATTTTTTGTTCCCGTATACATTGTTTTTTTGTAAACAAAATGTTCCCATAAGCAACTTTTATAGAGAACGAAAAGTACTTACATCGACTATCAAATAGCCTGACTCGCAGTGGAGTGCCGCTACATCGATTGAGGGTTTGGTTTGGGTCAGCATCAATGTCAGGCTTAGGATTACAGAAAGGTTTAAATATGGTTATATTACTGTAATTATTTCTTTTTGTAAATAGACGAAAATAAAAATGAAAATAATAAATAAAAAAAACAATAATAAACTTAAAAAGAAAAAAATAATAATTGTACACTTAAAAAAAAATCATAATTTTAAAGATTGCATCAAAAAAATGATTTGTCTGTTAAAATATTTAAAAAATTTTTTTAGATATCTTATCAAGTATTGTTTTAATTATTTATTTATGTATTGGCAAACTAATTGCTATTCAAACCTATTGAATTTTACTCAATTGATCTAATGATGCATATAATTGACTGCAAAAAAAATAATCGTACAGTTCAAAAACAATGTCAATATGAATTCCATGGAAATATTAGTATCGAGTGGGGCCTCCTTTAGCCTTGATGGCCTCATCTAGATGAATCGACATTGGGTTGACCAAATTTTGGGTCTCTTCTGGGATAAAATAACACATGCCCTCATTACATCTTCTTTCAAGTTGTCTTTGTGTCTAAATGCTTGTTTACTAATTTTTCTGTCAAGGATATAGAGATATAGAGTGGTTCTCAATAAACTTTTTTAACTTCTAAATAAATAAAAAGTTGACTTGAATTTGCATCAAAGTACTTAAAAATGCTGATATCATATTGGAAAAAAATTTTGTAGTAAAATGAGTCAAAATACAATCTCGTCTCATCGGAGAGAGTCCAAAAGGTGTGGCGAAAAAAAGGAGAAGCTTATAAATTGAGTTGTTTGCGAGGTAGTGTAATGCATGGAAGAGTAAATGTGATGGTTTGGTATAATATGAGTTGAAAAGGAGTAGGGAAATTTACATCTATTAATGACTAAATAGATGCTTTAATGGATTGTGAAAGCCAATTTGCAACCATATACTTATAAATTGAGAATAGGAAGCAATTTCATTCTCCACCAGGATAATAATCCTAAACATACCGCTAAGAGAACGAATGTATACTTTGACATAGATAACATCAATGTTTTGGAATGACCATCTCAATGTCTGGACTTGAATCAAATAGAAAATTGGTGGTATATTTTGGATAGAAAAATTGGCGACCGAACATTTAGACGCAAAGACAATTTTAAAGAAGCTATAATGAGCGGATGGAATAATATAACAGCAGAAGAGACCCAAAATTTGGTCAACTCAATGCAAAATTGTCTAGTTGAGGCCATCAAGGCTAAAAGAGGCCCCACTCGATACTGATTTCTATGGAATTTGATCAATTTGACATTATTTTTGAACTGTACGATTATTATTTTTTTGCAGTCAACTTTATGCATCATTAGATCAATTGTGTAAAATTCAATAGGTTTGAAAAGCAAATAGTTCACCAATACAGAAATTTTTTTGATGCAATCTTTAAAATTATAATATTTTTTTTAGTGTACTATTATTTTTTATGCATACTGTATATATATATATATATATATATATATATATATATATATATATATATATATATATATATATATATATATATATATATATATATATATATATATATATATATATATATATATATATATATATATATATATATATATATATATTTGTTTCCATAGAGTCATTAGAACTCATACCACTGTAATTCTAATTGTAATTTTAATGTTTTTATTTTTAATTTTGTAACATATTGCTGATGATTTTCGTTATTAATTATATATATAAATATATATATATAAATATATATATATAAATATATATATATAAATATATATATATATATAAATATATATATATATATATATATATATATATATATATATATATATATATATATATATATATATATAAATATATATATATATATGTATATATATATATATATATATATATATATATATATATATATATATATATATATATATATATATATATATATATATATATCATCATTGCTTTTTAATGGTATAATTCATTTATTTAGTTTGTTCAACATATTGTGGAAGTTCAACCTTATCTAACACATGGGAAGTATCATCGAGTTCAGCTCAAGTATAAATGCTTTATTTTTATTGGTGTAAATAAATTTTATTTTCCTAGGAATTGGAGGTTTTCAAAGAATTAGGAAGTATTCTAGGAATTTTTTTCTACAACAACAGTTTTCAATTTAAAAAATAAGCATATTATAGTTATTTAGTCATTCAGATCATCAAAAATATTTTTTAATGACTTTAAAAAAAGAAGTTAATTTAGATAATGGCAAGAAGCCTATTTAATTTAGTGTTTAAGTTTTGATTTAGATATGCAAAAATTTAATTCTAAATTATTTTTAATTAAGAATTGTAGTTATAACAATTTTCTATCTCTTGTTCTGGAGGAATAAAAATTGTTTATTATTTGTTTATTGTATTTACTATTTAAGTATTTGTTTAAATATCCAATATTTATTCTTAGCCTCTATATTGCACTGAAGATTGCATTATAAACACTCTAAAAATACTTGAAGAGCATTCTCGTCGAATAAACCCATCTCAAGCTAATGTTTGTCATACTGATGAAGGTGTTTTGGTTTGACAACTTCTTATTTTTAAAACGATTTGAATTTATACTTTGTTCAGTGTTTTAACCTCTTTTTTTTAATGTTTTTGATTTAAGTTTGTCGAAAAGCTTTATCAAGACTTCAGGAAGGTTTTAAGAGCGACAAAGAAATATTGTCATTGTTTCAGTTTATCAACTTTTTCAAAAAATTGAAGTAAGTCTCACAATACTTTGGATGATTTTTTATATAAAAATATTTATTTAATGTTTTTTATATAAAAAATTTTTATCTTTATTACAGGTCAAACAACGTCAGTGATTTTTTAGTAAAACTTCGAAAAGAAGCAACAATCGTTAACTTGTTACAATCCAAAGATGATCTTATTGTTCTTACTGCTGTAAGTTATATATTTATATTTATGTTTATTATTTTTTTTATGTTGAAACTTATATAATTATGATATAGTTATAAATTTATAAATAAATAAATACTTAAAATAGTTAAGTTGATTCAAAGTACTTTAGTTTTTTGTTTTTTTCTAATTGTTTTCACTCATTTGTACTATTTATTATATTAATATATTTATATTTTGTGTTGACTTATTTTAAAAAAATTTTAGTTACATCAACTTGGAAATGCGCTTGTTGAAAATTCTATATTCCACCAAATATTAACACTGCTTGTAACAGGAAGCACACTTGTTATTAATGGTGCAGGTAATCTTTATACATTTTATTAGTTTGTGACTTTGATTTTTTATGAAACGGTTGTGATTAAAATGGCTTAAAATGGAAATGACTGTTGGTAAAAACACTCACTGGTTATAACCAGGTACAGCAAATATAATATATCATCACAGAATCAAAGAAAGAATTGATTTTTCAATTTTTATTGAAACAAAATGTATTGTGTAGTTGTTAATCATTAATTTATGTTGTTAACATCTCACAGTGACTTGTTTACATTTTCACTTAATCATATCTCACAGTGACTTGTTTACATTTTTGTATAAAATTAAAAAACTAGATAAATGTGACAAAAAAGAAGTTTTTAAGATGCAGGGGGGGGGGAGGGATCCAAGATTTTTTAATATTAAAGTAACTTCTATGTTCTAAATTCAAAACTTTAGTATGTTCATAATAATTTCATAAAAAGAATGTTTTGCCATAAGTTGCACTGGTTAGACATCGCTTGCCTATCTCTTTAAAAAAATTGCTTTTTCCAAAAAAAAAAATTATGTTCTTAAAAAGAATAAAATTATATAATAAAGTTTACAACTTTCTTAAAAAAAGGCGGTGTAAACTTTTCATGGGTATATTTATAAATGCAAAATATTTTTAAATAAAATTTTAGATCCTTGAATAATTTTTATTTATTATAAGATATTAGAAATTTATATTGAAAAAAGAGATTTTATCCATGTTTAGGTGGGTAATGCCTACATTTTAGAGCATTACAAAAAACCCTGAATACATCCCTGCCGTGAACCTTCAATTAGCTTTATCATCTGAAAACCAAGGTTAAGCAAACATTATTGCACCAGAACTGTGCAAGGATTTATTTGCTGTTAGAAACTAGTTGCAGAGGCATAGGTGGTAATTAGGGTGGTGATAATAATGGTGGCATTTTTATTCATGTCTGTAGCAGAAAACTGTCGTTTTTTGTTTGGTTGGTTGGCACTGTTGATAATATTATTACGTTTTGTAGAGTTTGATATAAGTATAATATCTTACATTTTTTGATTTTTTTTTTTTAATAAAACCAAATGTGTTAATGTAATCTTTTGTAGTATTTACTGTTTTTATTTGCTAAATTTTTTAAATATTTAATTGCACCTATATTCAAAATTTTGTTAATTTTGTATTCATTGTATTATTTTTACATATGTTTTTATTATATGTAGTTTTATTTTTAAATTGTTTTGGAATTTAAATTTTTGTGTATAACTATTTTATTACTATATTTATTTAAATTTATTTATTATATTTTTTAATTGATTTACTTTACGCAAGCTTTTATTTTTATTATTGCTGTTATTATTATTGATATTATTTTATTGTATAAAGTACTGCTACAAAAATTGCATCATAATCGTTTTTTGATGTCAAAATATTGCATCATATTATCTTTTGATTTTGATTTTAAGTTTTGTAATCTTTTTTCATAGACCTTTTTTTTGTAGTTTTTTTACGCAGACATGATTTTTTGTAATTTTTTAAATAAAATATTTTTTTGTAAATTTTTACATATAATATTTTTATCATTTACATAGATCTGATTCATCTTAATTATTCTCTCTTTTTTTAAATTTTAAATTTCAGAGATATGCAACCATTGCATAAAATTCATGTTCATCAAAGTTTTTTTTGCGGTACATCTAGTCTTAGCATCACTTTATGTTGTTTCATTTGTATTATTGACTGCATCATTATTTTTATCTTTAAAACTCCACGTGTACAACAACTCCACGTGTAAATCAATTCCACCTGTACATCAACTCTATGTCTACATCAATTCCACGTATACATCAACACCTCGTTTACATCAACTCCACGTGTACATCAACTGCGCGCGTACATCAACTGTATCTACTTCATCATTATTTTTAAAAATTTGTATCTGGAAGCAATTTGCTAGAACAACTCCAAAAACTGCTTAAAACAATTTAATATTCGATTCTAATTAAGTCAAATGAAATATTCTTCTCTGACTTTTTTATGTATAATAAACCTGAAATTGTTTTTAAATAATTTTTTTTTTTTTTAATTTTGATTCACCTCCTCAAGGCCGAGAAGGCCACTACAGACGAGGAGGCTACTTATTTGTGGCTATAACCCTCTCTCAACTCTATAACTCCGAAACACGAACCTTGACAAACAAGGCCGCTGCGCGGAGAAATGAGTTGAGCGCAGTACTACCAGGGACGTGGTGGGGATCGAACTCGGAACCACTCGTTTATGAAGCAAGCGCTCTACCACTACACCACTACCGCAATTATGTAATGATTGTACAATAGTTATGTAATGATTATGCAATTTTATTACTTAATTTAAAATTATTCTAGTTTTTTGATTTTTATTTTTTTTATTTTGTTACTTTGTTTTTTTGTTGTTGCTTTTTTTTGTTTTGTTTTTTTTTACATAAAGGGATTTTATAGATAAGCTTTGTGAAATTACTAAAATAGTTAATAGATTTCAGTTTTATAGATAAGCTTTGTGAAATTACTAAAATAGTTAATAGATTTCAGTTTTATAGATAAGCTTTGTGAAATTACTAAAATAGTTAATAGATTTCAGTTTTATAGATAAGCTTTGTGAAATTACTAAAATAGTTAATAGATTTCAGTTTTATAGATAAGCTTTGTGAAATTACTAAAATAGTTAATAGATTTCAGTTTTATAGATAAGCTTTGTGAAATTACTAAAATAGTTAATAGATTTCAGTTTTATAGATAAGCTTTGTGAAATTACTATAATATTTAATAGATTTCAGTTTTATAGATAAGCTTTGTGAAATTACTAAAATATTTAATAGATTTCAGTTTTATAGATAAGCTTTGTGAAATTACTAAAATATTTAATAGATTTCAGTTTTATAGATAAGCTTTGTGAAATTACTAAAATATTTAATAGATTTCAGTTTTATAGATAAGCTTTGTAAATAAAAATAAAAAAAGATTTTTATGATTTATTTAGTAAAAAGCATCATTAAAATGTTTGCGGTAGAAGCTAATCAAAATGAGGTTTGTATATAATTTTATATATAAGAATATAAGTTTGTATATGATTTAAGTTTTTAAGTATTTATGCAAGAAATATTCAAGTAATTACATAATGTAAAAAAAACTCAAATAGTAATAAAATAAACTTAAATAGTAATATTACAAAGAAAAATATAATGAACAAAAAATTAATACAGAAATATATTTATTTTATACTTTCGAGAAATAATACTTTCACATCGTAACAATGTACTGCGTTAACTTTTCTGTATACATGTTTGCTCATACTTTGAACAAAATTTTTGAGGCCTATTTTTATAGTATTAGAATTTTTATATGTTTAAAAGTAAAATACATTTAATAATCAATTACAAATTCATGGTTTCTGGATTTACGACATTTCCACACTTGAAAAGCTTCTACAAAGTTGAAAAACGTCAGTTGCAACTGCTCTAAGTGTTTTTCAAAATCGAATTTTTTTTTTTCAATAACAAATATTTGTATTTGATTTTATTAATAATGTTATGATGTAGAAATGATCGCGCTTGAATTTCTTTATAATTTTCTTGTTGAAGTTTCAGCTTGGTTGCTCAAGAGATCTTTCAGATGATTGGCCTGATTGTCATAATTTTTAGATTTGATCCAAGTTTATGAGGTGTTGGTTGACTGTCTCTCTGTTTTACCACAAACTTTTGTTGGTTTTTTCAGTGATTAGAAGCAACAAAACAATCTACAATATTTTTAGTTTTAGTGTTAAGATGCAAATTATAATAATTGTACACTTGTTCAATTAAAGTAGTTGGCTTTGTTTTTGTGATAAGAGGTTCAATGACAGAAAACATTGCTTATGCTTCAATGAGAGAAAACAAATCATTGTTTCTGCTTTAATAGAGAATTAATATTACTCAATTTGATGTTAAATAATCTCTTATTGAATTCTACATGTTTATCTCTATAGCAATAACTTGAATGTGTTCCTATTACAAAGACTTATTATTTTAAACGGCTTCCAAGTATTTAAAGATAAATACCACAACATGTTTGAAACAAAAAAAGCTCCACCATTTAGATAAACTTGTTTCTAAGTTTTCAGCATTATTTATTTGCTGAAAATTATGCCCATTTTTTTGTTTACTATTTTAATCACACATTATTTTATCAGGCAAAAACAGTAATACAAGTAGTAAATTGCTGACATCATTTGCTTGAAGCTTGCTGAAGCTTTTATTTAAATTAGCTATTTTTTTTTATAGTTTTACCATCAAAATGATTGAAAATTGTGCTGCATTTAGATATTCTAGTAGATATGTAAAATATGACGCAAAATCTTTCAATTAATTTCCTCTAAAGGACTCTGAATTATGTAAAAGATGAGTTTTTGCTTTGAAATGTGAAAATTTTCTTACATTTAAACGTATTTGTATATGTATTGAATATTTTTTAGAATCAGATTACAACTACAGTATCCCAGAAAAATATTGCATGTGTTGATCATCATCATCAACCCAATTTAAAAATAAATGCTGTGCTATCAGGTTTTGTATTTTCTACAAATATGCAAAAGACAAAAAAAAAACTTTTAACAATAAGAACACCAATAAATCTACTACCAAGATTTAATTTTTTTGTCAAAAAAAAAACAAAAACAAATTTGAACGTTTATCCTACTATAAATAAACACAGCAAAGAAAATAATTTATCACGTTAGCTAGAAAGCTTTACTGATGCTAGAAAGCTTTACTGATGATAATGATCGAACCAATTAATCTCAAATACTATCTATAAGATATGTATCACCAGCAAACAAATTTTTAAAGAAAAGAAAATCTTTTTACAAGTTATGGTTTCCCTTTTAAAAACAAATTATTTTACAACTGATGTTGCAACTGTTTTATACAGAAAATATTTTATACAGAAAACTATTTTATGAAATCGTATGTGTGTGTGTATATATATATATATATATATATATATATATATATATATATATATATATATATATATATATATATATATATATATATATTTGTGAAATCATATATATATATATATATATATATATATATATATATATATATATATATATATATATATATTATATATATATATATATAGTTTTCCTTTCAAAATGTTGAATTAAAAGGTCAAAGATTACAACGGTAAAGTAAAAAAACTTGTTTTACATATAATGCATATAACTTACTTTAACCAATTTGTTTTACATAAAATGCATATAACTTACTTCCAACTTACTTCCAACTTACAACCAATGTTGTGTCTTGATGCTATCAGTTAATTGTCACAAAAGACTTTATTTGTAAATTGCGATGGTTTATTCCATAATATTTTTTCATATTATAGTGATAAACAGAAAACTGATGTTAATTTTAAATATTGTACCCTTATAATTAATGCTATAACAATTAAAAACAGTCTAAATTTGAAAAAAAGTTCAAATCACTGCATTTGTTTTTATGATATGGGTAAGAATTTTACTGTATGCGAACCTAATAATCCAGCTACAGAGGCATTAATTTTCATGTTAGTTGGTTTGCAAAGACATTGGAAAATACCCATTAGTTATGTTTTATCATTATACAGAAACTTTAGTTTATATATTAGTTGTTTTGCAAGCTCATTGGAAAGTATTTATTGCTAATTTTTAATTAAGTTAAAACAATTTAACATGCTTACTTAAAACATTTTGAATTTGGTTTTGAAATAACTTTGTTCAAAAGTCTTACATTTGATCGTATAAGTACCAATTAAAATTCTGTTGTTCCCTTTTGATGTCAGTTTTCAAAGATTTTAAAGATATGTTTGTTACTTCTTCATATGACAACCAATTGCTACACATTTTCCAAGATCCATGCTATATGCTTGAATTAGATAGAAATTCTTTAAATGGCTTTTGTTTTTTTTATAAGAGCATTATATTTAATAGATTTAACTTAAACCTTTGTTCAAGTTTAAAGATTTGAAGTTTGCAAAGAAACTTTCAAAGAAACATATCAAGTTTCATTGCCACAAAATAAATATGCAAGTTGAAAATAAATGAAGCTAGTTAAATAGAAATATAAGTGAATATTATTTCAGAACTCTGATTAATTATACCCAGAAATATACTACTAAAGACTTTAGTAAATTGCTAAGAAAGGTTCAAGACAATAAACAAATCAGTTACTATTATTTAAGGGTTTATAAATGTAATTTTTTTTTTTATAAAATATTAAAAAATATTAAAATGTTTTTGTTTAAAGTTCTAAATGCAAATATATTTTTAAAAATATATTTTTTTTAAATTTGTGGCTATAAAAACAGCTGTTTGTTTTAGTTTTTCAGCTATTACAATCCTCTTTGACCTTTAGTTCTCTTTTTCTTGTTTTCTTGATTCATATAATTTGCGATCTTTTAATTAGTCTGTCGTTTATAAAAGTTTTATAAAGCTTTATAAACATCTTTTCTCTTCCAGTAACTTTTAACTCTAATAGTGGTTTAACTCTAATAGTGGTTGCTTGCCTTGTTGGAAGTGAAGATGTTTAAAAAAAAAGAAAAAAAAAGATAAAGTTTACTGAGTTAAATGCTCTAATAGTAAAAGAATGTTTTTAATTTAAAAACTATTATCCTAATTACCATTTTTGATCTTGTGTTTACTTTTTAAACCGTAAAATAAGATTTAACATCAATTTCTACTAGACGCTAGATAACTGGTATTAAGTCTCCATTTCTTTTCTGGTATTGGTATGATTTCCTACAGTATTGATATCAAGATCATATAATACTGGTATTGAAAGTATCGATTATGCTAGTATTGTTTTGTACCCGTCATTTGGTATTGCAGATTGAATCTTCATGAAAATTTCTATTTTATTTTTAATAAACGAATAAAAAATGTGAAATAGTAACTTATGTAACTAATGAGATTTATATAATAAATGAGATGTATATGAGATGAGATGTAATAAATGAATTTAATTGGCTCATATAGAAATTCTCAAGAATTGTATGGTATTGAATGACATATTAGTGTTTTTTCAAACATTTAGTGTTTGAAAAAAGAATCACAATTTAGTTTAATTAATTGTGAAAAAACTAACACCTTGGCTTGGTGAAAGAAACATGCAACTGAACTGCCTATCCTATTAGGTGTTGCAAGATCATGGTTGACAACTCCACTGCCCTCTGCATCATCTGAATGAACATTTTCTGTTTCTGGTTTTGTCATCGATATTGTAGATACAATATTGACAGTGACAAGATGTGAGGACAAGATAACAAGGCAGATAAAATTGTCTTTAAAATACTGAACTATTCTGCTCTTAAGAATTATGTCAAAAAATGGCCAAAAAAGTACAGCAAAGGAAAAAACAGCAACGATAGCCAAAGCCTTCTAGATGGTTAAAAAACATTAAACTAATTTTTACTAAACTTACTAAAAGGTGTCTTCAAAAATATTAACATCTAAATTACAATCTTACTTATATTTTGCTGATAATATATTTCGAAAAGTCGCATTTTTTAATTTTCTTCTTAAGGCTATGCGACCATAAGAAACCATAAAATTCTTTTTATAATTGGTATTTTGTGGTATCAACATTAGTATATAAGTATTACAACACAGTACCCTTCTCGGTATTGACTCGATTCTGATTATTTAGTATTTAATTTCTACAGAGCCAATTAATTTAGTTCACAATGTTTTATCTAATGTAAACAGTTACCTTAACAATTCAAAAATGTTGAAACATTTGGCTAGTTGATTTATTATTATTATTATTATTATTATTATTTCTTTCATAAATAATGCGGTAGTGGTGTAGTGGTAGAGCGCTCGCTTCATAAACGAGTGGTTCCGAGTTCGATCCCCACCACGTCCCTGGTAGTACCGCGCTCAACTCGTTTCTCCGCGCAGCGGCCTTGCTCGTCAAGGTTCGTGTTTCGGAGTTATAGAGTTGTGAGAGGGTTATAACCACAAATAAGTAGCCTCCTCGTCTTTAGTGGCCTTCTCGGCCTTGAGGAGGTGAATTAAAATAAAAAAAAAAAAAAATAAATAAATACAATATCTAGGTATTTATGAGAACTTACAGAAATCCGGAAAAGATTTTGTTAATCGAGTTGATTTTGGGTGCAGAAGTTGCAGCTTAAACGAATTTTTAAAATTTCGCACTATAGGTCTGACTAAAAACAATGCTTGAAGAGGGTTATCACTCAATTTGGCAAATTTTTTGATTAATCTGAGGCAGATGCTTTATGAATAATTTAAAAATGTAGTAATTTATATAATAGGTGTAATAATTTATATTTTCCTATGTTGAAAGATGTTCCTGAATTGGTAAAAAAAATACTGTTAAACTTTCTGTAAGTCCTTCATTTACCAGAATAACTGTTTTTCATGAATATCCAGAAGCTTCTGTATATTAATTCTTTCAAGTTTTCAATGCAGAAGCAGAGATATCATTTTCCTTTTTAAAGCAGATATGTTTATATACATTAAACTCATATATTTGCGTCTTTTTTATTTATTTTATTATATTAATTTAGTTGTATTATTTTAATTTATAATAAAATGCCGGAAAATTTAAGAGTAATAGTTGTAAATCGATGTCTACCTGTTTAACAAATTGTTTAAAAGTATTCTATGATGTTTTGTAATTTATTTAAAAACATTTTATGATGTCCATCTGTTTTGCAATTTATTTAAAAACATTTTATGATGTCCATCTGTTTTGCAATTTATTTAAAAACATTTTATGATGTCCTTCTGTTTTGCAATTTATTTAAAAACATTTTATGATGTCCAGCTGTTTTGCAATTTATTTAAAAACATTTTATGATGTCCATCTGTTTTGCAATTTATTTAAAAAGATTTTATGTCTGTTTTCTAATTTATTCAAAAATACTCTTTAACTTTTTTATTTATTTATTTTTTTCTTTACTTTAAATATACTTTTTTTTTTACTTTAAATTTAGATGTTAAGCTTAATTGCAGTCTCTTTAGAAGAAAATGATATTTATATTCGTGCAGGAGCTTGTGTAGCCATTGCAAAATTAAAGGTATATATATTTTTTCTGACGTTTGCTATTCGTTGTAAATTAAAATATATTATCTATAAATGTATTTAGATTATATCTGCTACAACAAAACTGAAATACTTGCTTCAAACAGATCATCTAACAGTAAAAGAGGCGGCATCAAACGCTCTTATTGAGCTGGGTAATTTCAGTTTTATTTAAAACCACGTAATCATGATGCCCATCTATTGCATCTCATTTACCTATCAATGTATATCAATGCTGAAGAATTTATTTAAATATGTATACTTTAGGTCAACTAAAAACCTGATGAGTTCTAGTTTAAAAAAGTTAGCACACCTATCACATACTGTTAATAATAATCCGAGTTTCTTAAACGTATTACGTAATGATAACGAAGTGACAAAATTGGAAACATCAAAAATCCACACGTACTTATAATGAAAGAAAGAAATCTTGTATTTATAATGGAAGAAAGAAAACACCGATATACACCCAAACACCCTTATATTTTTTCTTGAACGTGTAGTTAATATCACATCACAAAATTATTTCTGTAATTTTATTTTGAACAGTAAGTAATGTTTGGACTGAAAATTGTTGGTTAACCAAGATTTAATCACATTTCGCATAGAATTTGAATTTAAGGTTTATCTAAAGGATTATCTTTGTTAATCGAATTTTAACTTTTTAAATGAAACAAGTTTCGAAATTTCGGTTTTAATCCTAACGGTTATTGTTTATAAAATTTTATTAAAAAATTTCAAATCAAATTTTTTAGATTTTTTAGATTTATATTTTCAGAAATTTTTTAATATTAGATAAAATTTGTTAATTAAAATGACTTAT